CCTCCAAAAGTTCAAAATTGAAGAAGTTATGCACTGTTGAAGTTGGACATTTTTGCAAAATTGCCAAAAGTTAACTATCCCCAAAACTTCAAATTTTGTCAAATGGGCCCATTCTTTTCCACTTGATTTGGACTTGCCACATTGCAAACGTGTCTTAGCTTCATCCTTGTGTCCATTTATCAATTTTATTATTTTATTTGATTTTTTATTGAATTATTTCATTTTAAATCAAATAAAATCAAAGAAAATCCAAATGATTAATAACTCTTGATTTTTTGATTGTTTTAGGCTTTGTTTACAGCTATAACCACCATCTAATTTGTATCAAGCCTAATCATGTGCAAAAAGATTGAATCAAATCAAATTTGGAAGGTTTAATAATGGAGAATCATCAAATATGGCATTTTTTTCAAATCTTGACCATGGTCTTAAAACACAACATTATGAGGGAGATTCTTTCCATGATTTCTTGTCTCCTCATTATCCTCTATAAATATAGAGCCATACAAGCTTGAAAGAAACGAAAATCCTCTCTAAAAAGCTCTCAAAAAGCTCTTCAAAAAGTTCTCAAAAAGCTCTTCAAAAAGCTCTCCAGAAATCAAAGAATTGGTGCAAGTCATATCTCGAGGTTCCGGCATCTCGCAATTGACATCAAGCCTCAAACCATCCTCTTGAATTCCTCATGAGTCTTACAAGACCCAAGAGCAATCCATCACACGCCTAGCACGCCCACCGGTTTGGTAAAATTTTAAATTTCGAATCTCTAATTTTAATCACATTTTATGGTATGCTAACGTTTGTTTGAGTTTATATAGAACATTTATGGATGGTTAAATCATAGGTACCACGCAAGAATCAAAAAACATCATAGTTAGAGCATGAAGCTTTCGAAGATCCGGGCTCAGAAATGCTCTTTACATTTCCCAAAAGTGTTGTTTCAGGCCCATTTCTCACTCTTTATTTTTTTTTTTATATTTTCAATTTATTTATTTCTTATTTATTTTACTAACCAAATAATTAATCTTCTTTTCATCAAAAAATCACAAAAATATTTTATGTCCAATTAAATTTCAGAATTTTATTTTTTATTAATAAATATTAATTAATTTAATTAGGATATTAATGTTAGATAACTTTAAATAATTTTTACAAATATTTAAAATTAATTAGAAATCAATAGGTTTTTAAAACTAATTTAATCATTTTATTTTCTTTCCTAAATTAACAAAACTCCAAAAATATGTCATTTAATATTTTTCATTAATTAATTTATTTAATAATTAATTTAGCATTTAATTTTTAGGACTTAATTTCTTTTCTTAAAAAAAAAAACAACAAAACATTTTCTTTATCAAATTAAATTCTAACTTTTATTTTTGTTAATAAACATTAATTATTTGATTTAGAATTTTAATTAGAATAACTTTCACATTTTTGTAAAATAATTAAAATTAACTTAGACATAATTAGGTTTTTATTAACATTGATTAATTTTATTTTCTTTCTTTAAATATCAAAAATCTCAAAAATATTTATTTTCATTAATTAATTAATTTATTTATTAATTTAATAATTAATTTAGGATAGTTTCTTTCTTAATTCAAAAATAACAAAAAAAGATACTTTCTTTCAAAAAAGGGTCAAAACCCTAAACTTGCACTCGATTTAATTTCCGCACGCGATTTACTTTCTTTTATCCAATATTCTATTTGTTCCTGGAATGTAATAGATAATTAGGACCATTTAATTATTTTATCGCTTTATTTATTTTCCGCATTTAAATTTCAAAGGGTTGCTTTTGGCGATGTAAATACCCGACGCCTTGTAATTTAATTTTCGCAATTTATTTTCCGCAAAACATAACTGTTAGATGTTTTATAATAGGAATGCATGACAAGAATGAATGTTTAACCTAAAATCAACATAGATAACCATTGACATGTACAAAGACAAAATAACTGAAAACAACACACTCGCACATGTGCACTCTTAGGGTACACCCCACTTGGTTGCCTTCGTACACGGTCATTAAGTATATGTAGTTTTAGAGGTCGTCCTCTTGTCCAAAGATCATAGTTGCCTCGAAACGGTTGCCTCGGATATTGTTGCCTCAAAAACAAATGATCTAAGACATTAGGGTTACCGCTAAGGCGTCCTAACATTGCTTTAGTGATCGTAAGTCCTTAAATTCGAATTGACCCTTAAACTTCAACAACGATGCTACCTACTCATCAATAGTGGGATAGCATTGCCTAAAGGAAGATAGCATAGAACAATTCCTTTTTCGAGTAGGTAGATGGTTCTTAAGTACTTGCTCTTTCAAAAAACAAAATCTTTTCCACACTTACACCTTTCAAAACAAAAACTTCTTCAAACCCACAAACACAAAGAAAAGCAATTTTGAAAACAATATGAGCAAGTACCTAAGAGCCCGTGGATAACCACTGATAGAAAGGGTGCTAACACCTTCCCTTTCTATAATCTACCCCCCGAACCCGAGAAATATCTCGAAAAAGGAATTTTTTTGTGCTTTTTTCCTTTCCTTATTGGATAAAATAAAAGTCGGTGGCAACTCTTGCTTACCGAGACATTTTGCAAAAACAAACGCAAAACGCAAACCAGCATTCCAAAAAACAGTCAGTTCTTTCCCACCGTATCACACTTGGTTATAAGAGGAACTAGGATAAATCCTTGTGTCACTTACATTCTTGCTTTTTAGTTTCATGCACTTTACATTCAAAGTATAATAACTTAATTTCAGAAAAATTAAAAGGAAGAATCTTTGTGTAATATCAAGAAATATTCTACAAATCTAATTAAACCCCCACATCTTAGATTGCACCCGATAGTTACATGAGGATGAGAAAAGTATAACAGTGTTTGTGTTGTGCAAAGAAGGACGAACCTCACAATCCCATTTTTCTTCTTCTCTAAAGCTTTCCTATGCATGTGTAGTTTTCCCAAGGAAAGGAAATTGAGTTTCCAAAAGGGAAGGAAAGGGAAAATATTTTCCTAGAAAGTATACCACGACCTTTTATATAAGACTAATAGAAAAAACAACGTACTAGCTCGATGAAGTAAGTGTTACAAGGAGTGGAAAGGTTTACATGTATTAAGGACAAGTGTAAGAGGAGGGTTTAGGTTGCTTTTCCCAAGAAAATCATCATTGGTTGCTTAAATGCCACCCACGCTCCTTTCCCACTAAGCTTGCAAGCTTTCATAACTAACATGTAGTTTGACGCCTCTGGGGTCAGTCGAGTGATGTTTGACATCCTCTACTGACACCTTAGCTACTCAAGAAATCTTTGGCAAAGAGGTGATAAATCTACCCTAACTAAAGGAGTCTCCTTCATTTGAGGGACTCACCCTTAACTGAGGGACACACCTCCAACTAAAAGAGTCGCCTTCAACTGAGGGACTCGCCTCCAACTAGGAGTCACCTTCAACTGAGGGACTCTCCTTAACTTAGGGACTCATATCCAACTAAAGGAGTCATTCAATTGAGAAACTCGCCTCAACTGAGGGACTCACCTCAAACTAAAGGAGCCACCTTCATTTGAGGTACTCACCTTAATTAAGGGGCTCAGCATGAACCAAAGGACTCGTCCCATGACTCTCTAGGAAATAAGCATTCAACATTTTCCCCAGTCAAGAGGGAGCGATTACCACTTCTCGAGGGTTCTCGGAATCCTAGGCCTAGGGGTGTTCGCGGTTCGGTTTGGATCGGTTTTAAGACAAAAAATCATTCAATCCAAAGATAAATTTACTTGCGGTTCGGTCCGCTTTTGAATGATATTTTAAAAAAATCTAATCCGATCTGATCCAATTTTATGCGGCTTAATTTGGATCGATTTTTTGGATATCCAAATTACACATTATATTTTATTAATATTATAAAACTACTAATAAATCATAGATTTGATATAATATATAACATATAGTATATTAAAAGTTAATATTACAAAATGAGAGTGGTTGACTATGATTGAAATAATAAAAATAAATAAATTATATCAAGCTAATAACTATTAATAAAAAAAATTATTATCATCTAATAATAAATTCATGTAACATATCATACTAATAAAAAGTAAATAAGTATAAAAATATATGTATGTGGTTTGGTTTGGTTTGGATCAGTTTTGAAAAATTAATCCAAAATCCGATCCAAACCGATTGGTTTTCACAAAATGACATCCAAACACATCCAATAAATTTCAGTTTTTTGCAGTTTTCGGTTTTTTGAATCGGTTTTCGATTTTTTATTTGGATTGTTTTGAATTTGAACACCTCTACCTAGGCTCATATACCTCTAAAAATACCTTAATCTTAGAGTTGTGGAGGACAACTCGTAATACACATGATACACCCCGTAAAAGCTACAAAGTTTTTCACCTCACATGAACTTGCTCTCTCATCACCGTAAACACCACCAAACAGAGTCTCTCGCTACGGTTGACAAACTCTAAACCACCAGAGCAATACTGAGGCCTCTTGTCACTCCTACTAATTTAGGGGTATCACGTATGATATATTTTTTGATAAATACAAATGTCATTTAAAATTTTTGTACACAAATTAAAAAATACAATAAAATCATTAAATAATACTATTTCTATTAAATTAATCTTATTAACGTGTTCAAACTAGTAATAACTATATCATACAATTGAAAAAATAATTATGATTTATAAATTAAAAACAAAAAAAAAATGATATTTATTTAAAACAAAATTTATATACCAAATTGATATTCATTTTAAAATGGAGTGAGCAATGAATAATCATAAAGATATTTTTTTTTATTTGAGAAATAAAACAAGCAAGTATAGATTTTAACCTATTAAATACGAAAATTTAATCATTAATCAGCCTTTGTTGGAAATTAAAATATAACCGTCTCTAGTGGAAGTTGAAAGACCGTAGGCATTTCAAAATCGTACTGTAGTAATTATTACAACGACAGGGACGCTTGATTTTCTTCTTCTTCTTTCTTATATATGCCGAGGAAATCTCATCTATGTGCCGAGGAAATCTCATCTATGATTCTCACAAAGATGCGAGAAATTGCAGAGGAATATTTGGAATCACCTGTTAAGAATGCAGTTGTTACGGTGCCAGCTTATTTCAATGATTCTCAACGAAAAGCCACTATAGATGCTGGCGCCATTGCTGGCCTTAATGTTATGCGAATAATCAATGAACCCACTGCTGCAGCCATTGCATATGGCCTTGACAAGAGAACTAATTGCGTAGGAGAACGCAACATTTTTGTGTTTGATCTTGGTGGTGGGACTTTTGATGTATCTCTCATTACACTCAAAGATAAGGTCCTTCGAGTTAAGGCTACGGCCGGAAACACTCACCTCGGAGGAGAGGACTTTGATAACCGAATGGTAAACTACTTTGTACAAGAGTTCAAAAGAAAGAAAAAAGTGGACATTATTGGGAACCCAAGAGCTTTGAGGAGGTTGAGAACTGCATGCGAGAGGGCGAAAAGGGCACTAACTTTTGTATTTACCACCACTATTGAGGTAGATGCTTTATTTCAGGCCATTGACTTCTCTTCACCAATCACCCGTGCCAAGTTTGAGGAAATCAACATGGATCTTTTCATCGAGTGCATGGAGACAGTTGAGAGGTGTCTAGTTGATGCTGGGATGGACAAGAGTAGTGTAGATGATGTTGTCCTTGTTGGTGGATCTTCAAGGATTCCTAAACTGAGACAACTATTGCAGGACTTTTTTAAGGGGAAAGAACTATGCAAAAGCATCAATCCTGATGAGGCTGTTGCTTATGGGGCTGCTGTCCAGGCTGCATTCTTGACTGAAGGTGTTAGTAATGTTCCAAATTTGGAGCTGATGGATGTCACACCTCTGTCTTTAGGTTGGGGCCTAAAAAATGATGTCATGAGTGTGGTGATTCCTAGGAACACTTCGGTTCCTGTCAAGAACACACTGTCATATGTTACGGTTATTGATAATCAATCCGCTGTCCTTATTGTGGTTTACGAGGGCGAGAGAACCAGAGCCAGTGACAACAACCTTCTTGGTTTTTTCCGTCTTTTGGGCTTACCACCTGCTCCTCGCGACTATCCTTTTAAGGTATGCTTTGATATAGATCAAAATGGTATTCTAACTGTTACTGCTATGGAAAAATCCACTGGCAGTACTAATGAGATTACAATAACCAACAACAAAGAAAGGTTGTCAAACGATGAAATTAAGAGAATGATCCGCGAAGCTGAGGAGTATCGCGTTGAAGATAAGAAGTTCTTAAGGAAGGCCAAAGTTATGAGTGCATTGGATGACTGTGTTTACAAAATGAGAAACGCAATGGAGAAAAAGGGTACTAAATTAAAGCTCTTATCCCAAGAAAACAAGGAGATCAATGCTGCAATTACCATTGCCACAAATTTGCTTGATGAGAACTACCAACAGCACGAAATTGATGTTCTTGAGTATCAATTGAGTGTTCTTGAGAGTATGTATGAACGCATTATGAAATTGTAAGTGTAGTCTTGCATATTTTGGTAAGTGAATGCAAACTCTTGTGCTAAAGCCATGACTTGGAAACTCTTTTTTACAATCTAGAGTTAGTCTACAGGTTTCCTTCACAGTTTTAGACAATGAATTTCCTTTTTATCACATCCTTCATTTGCCAATCCAAAATCAGAAATTTCTGAATTGTAATTCTCTGCACCTCTAACAGCAAGTGCATTTTCAAACATGCTTAATTGTATACTAAGGTGTATTTCATTGTCAAATTCAACATACTTTGTTGTGTTAAAGAAGTTACTCTGCCAAGATTTCTCACATGTCATGTTTCTTGTAAAATCTTTTGATGAAGTTAATCTTGCCTCATTGGACTTGCTAGGCTGCTAGCTGGTCTCTTATACAATTGAGGACTGCTATTATCTCATCTGATGTCATACATAACACACATGTTATCACCATTTCATTGTGAGATTTGGATTTTTTCTCACAACCTTCTCACATCCAACATTATCAGACTTTGTGCTTGGACATGTCAAAAGCATTAAATAATTGGACTGCTTGTAAACACAAAGATTTTCAATAAAGCAATTTGTATGCTTCACTGAATATGATGTCGACGATCATATTCAGGGACCATGTTGATTTCTGAGGTTAGGGGGCGTGTCTTCTCCATTTTTTTGTTCATCTTGATTGCATCTCTTCTCTGGACTTTCGGATCTCCTTCGAGGTGTTGGTGACCTATTTGTCTAGTAAAGAGGTTAGGATGTTCTTCCTCGGGTCATAATTATAAATGAAAATAACTATTTTCACATAACTTAAGAAAATTAGTTAAATGTAATTAATTTTTTTAATTTCATGTACAATCAAATTAAAATTTATTATAATATCCTTAGTTATATTTGATTAATCAACTATCAATATTAAATATTTTTGAATTAAATTAAGGTATAATAATAATACAGTAGACCAAAACAAATAGAGATCATATATAATTATGATTTAATCAGACAAATATTATAAGTAGTAGGCCATATTGCACTTCTTAGATTTACTTGTCTACATATTTTTGTAGATGGTCCTTACATATCAGTTTTTTTTTTAATGGATGTTTGTATGTGATGGTGTGTCGCAACTAACATACTAGCGAGTTGGAGAAAAGACTTAATTTGAGACTTGTCACAAAAGTGTGTTTGCTCATAATTAATAATTAAGTTGAGGTTTTTTATTTGAGATGTCTCTTTGCACTACGCCAAAACAAAGTTTAGGCAGCGCTTGTAAATCAAAGCGCTGCTATATGTCACAATATAATTTTAAATTTTAAATTATATATATTAGACAGCGCTTTTGAAAAAAGCGCTGCCTAAGCCTCACTTTAGGCAGCGCTTCATGGAAACGCTGCTAAATATCAGGATAAAATTTTAAATTTTAAATCATAAATATTAGACAACGCTTTGAAATAAAGGGTTGCCTAAAGTTAAGAAAAAGTGTTGCCTAATCCTCACTTTAGTTAGCGCTTTATAAAAAACGCTGCCTAAAGTCAATTAAAATTGAAATAAAAAAATAAATTCTAGAAGCGTTGCCTAAACTCAAAGCGCTGCTATAGGCCCAACAGTAGGAAGCGCTGTTATAGGCCCAAAGCGCTGCTAAAGGCTTATTTTAGAAAGCATTGATATAACCTAATAAGAAATTTGAGACAAAGCGCTGCTAAAAGGCCTACTTTAGAAAACACTTTTAAGAAGCGCTGCTTAAGGCCATAAGCGCTGCTATAGGGCATACATCAGAAAGCGCTGCTAAAGGTAATACATCAGGCAGCGCTTTATAAAAAGCGTTGTCTAAGGTCTTATTTCTAAATTAAAAAAAGTAAAACCCTAAAACACAATTTTCGTTCTCATAACATGAAGAACCTCCAACGACGCTCTGCAACTGATTTTGAACAGCTTTTTCAACGCGATTCTCCAACTATTAACCAACAACGATTCTCCAACGACGCTCTGCTTTGTTTTCAACGCGATTCTATTTTCTTTTCTCCGCAATTCTGTTTTGATTTGCTCGATTCTGTAAGTTCTTCAACGCCATTTTGTTTTCTTCTTTGTGATTTTGTTTTTATATGCTTCATATTTTTCAGTTTCAATCCCTATAAAAAGTTTGTTAAGGTTTGTGTTCATATTCATATAACATAGGAAAATTGCTTTTTATTCTCTTTTGATGGTCATATTATGCATGTTGAAATTAGTGTAAGAGAAAACATGAATAAAATATTAGATAAACTAAAATATGAACACGAACAAGCAAACTTCATGAAGGACAAGAAGTGAAAATGGTAAGCATATAAGAATTTTCTTCAACTATTATTATCCTTTATCTTGTATGAACTTGTTTAATTATTTCATCTTGTTTATGCAAAATGTATATAAGTATAATAATATGAAATTCATGCAGCAAGAAAGAAAGTTTGTTTTTCTAAGATATGAAGTTGACTATTTCTTTTCTTTATTTTGGTTGTAATGTTAAATATCATTAATTCTTTATTCGGATACATATTGTTTGAATGATTTGGTATGATTATATCATTTTCTTAGATATATATACAAATAGATATAGTACTTAAGATTGTGACATCTCATGTTTTATCACTATATGATCGAATCTTATATATATATATATATATATATATATATATATATATATATATATATATATATATATATATATATATATATATATATATATATATATATATATATATATATATATATATATATATATATATATATATATATATATATATATATATATATATATATATATATATAGAAAACGTTTGAAGTGCCTACTAACAAATCTAATACTGAAAATTATAATTAAAAAGAGATGATTGTGATATCATATTTAGTGTATTTTATTTTCTCAAATGCAACAGGGAAATCCACATAGATATATCTTGGATTATTCACTTGTTTTATTTGTTTAAATTTGTTGAGATGGGGTCACAGGTCTTAGTTTTTTGAATAAGTTAGATCTCTTTCTCTCAACTTTATTCTTTGCGGTTTAATATTTGTTTGTCTTAGTTGTTATGGACAAGAATGATGAGTGAGGACTTCATAGTATAATTTTCTAGTCCCACACTGCTAATGAGAGAAATTAGATGACTTTGAAATTATATATAGAAGGAAGTTTATTCTGTGCTAGAGTTCTTCAACACGATTTTGTTTTTCTTTTGTTATTAGGCCTGAGATAAAGTTGTGAGTTGTGATATTCAACAGCTTGGCTTTATAAAAGATCAGTATCTCAGGTAAGGAGTTTACAAAGTTGCTGCCCAATTTTATAGCCACTTTCACAATGTTACGCTGTGTGGTTCCAGAAGTTGCTGACTTCTCTACAGGTAATTAGTTATTCTTTTGTTATAGGTACGTGATTAATTAGTGTTTTTGTTTAGGCTACTTAGTAGTAAAATCGTGGATAAAAAATGGATGTCTTCCAATCGATTGTCAAAAGAGTACGAGAATGGGGTATTAGAATTCATTAAGTTTGCTGTTGCACATGCCGAAAATCCCAGTCGAATGAAATGTCCTTGCTTGGGTTGTTGTTATGGGGGTCGGGTTGACGCAGTTGGATTGGAATCACATTTACTGAGGAATGGAATTGATCTAAGTTATACATGTTGGATATTTCATGGTGAGAAAAGTAATGGGAATGTTGAACCGGGGGATAGTACGATATATGCTTCAGACGACAATGGCAGAGATACATACGATTGTCATCGTGTCGAAGAGATTGCAGAAGCACTTGAAGAAGATCTTCAGGATTGTCCCAAAATGTTTGAGAGGTTGGTAAGCGATGCAGAGAAACCGTTGTATAAAGGTTGCACTAAATTCACAAGACTGTCCGCAGTATTAAAGTTGTACAACTTAAAGGCGGGCAACGGATGGTCGAATAAAAGTTTCACAGAGTTATTAGTCCTTATGAAAGATATGCTTCCGGAGGATAATGTTCTTCCTGATCGAACATATGCGGCCAAAAAAATGTTGTGCTCTATTGGCATGAGCTATGATAAGATACATGCTTGTCCAAATGATTGCATTTTGTTTCGAAACAAATATGCATCGTTAAATGAGTGTCCTAAATGCGATTTATCTCGATATAAGAAAAAATTGTCTCCAGCAAAAGTCTTATGGTATTTTCCTATAATTCCGAGATTTAGACGCATGTTTCATAGTGAAACTGATGCAAGACACTTGACTTGGCATGATGATGAAAGAATTATTGATGGAAAGTTTCGACATCCGGCAGATTCACCACAGTGGTCGAAAATTGATAATGATTATCCTGATTTTGAAGGAGAAGCAAGAAACCTTCGCTTGGCATTATCTACAGATGGAATGAACCCGCATGGTCTTCAAAGTATCTCACATTCCACATGACCTGTGATTATGATGATTTATAACCTACCTCCATGGCTATGTATGAAACGCAAGTACATGATGTTATCTATGTTAATTTATGGACATAAACAACCAGGGAATGACATAGACATATACTTGACACCTTTAATCAAAGATTTAAAGATTATGTGGGAGAACGGTGTGGAGGTTTATGATGGATATAGGAAAGAAAGTTTCAATTTGAGAGCGATGTTGTTTGGCACAATTAATGATTTTCCAGCATACGGAAATCTATCAGGGTATAACATTAAAAGTCAAAAAGCGTGTCCTATTTGTGAAGAACACACAAATTGGAAGCGATTGGAATTTTGTTAAAAGAATGTATTTCTCGGTCATCATAGATTCTTAAATTCTAATCATCACTACCGTGGATGGAGAAAGGCATTCAATGGAAATCCAGAACATGATAGAGCTCTACCTATGTTAACAAGTGACCAAGTTTTTGAGAAGGTGAAAGATATGAGTACTCAGTTTGGCAAGCCTTTTGCAAATACGCTTGTCAAAGGTGGGTGGAAGAAGAGGTCATTTTTTTAATTGCCATATTAGAAGTCGTTGTATGTAATACATTTTATT